CTGTTCTGCTCAAGCTTTCAAATTCCTTTGACAGCCTTGATGTGAAATTCAAAAGCCATTAATTTGATGTGTTAATTTTGCACTTTTTGACTTACTGCAAAGATCTTATAGTTTCCATAGCAACGATAACATATCCAGATTGTATAATATTCTTTACAGTATTAAAAATAAAACTATGCAATTACATGAGCTTCTGGAGTACTTCATTTAGGGGAACTAGGGATTGAAATATTTCTGTTGAAAAAAATTATGGTTTCATGTGAGAAATTTTTCAGAAAGCTTTTATAATTTTGTTTTAAGAATTTACTAAAACTTATTTATTTTGCAGTAGATACCTGGTGGTTAATTTAATTATTACATGTATAAAATTTACATTGTAAGCATTGTGTTGGAGCATCTCAGGCACATGTGCTCTCACTCCCATACCCACACATATATTTAAGGTAGGAGGGGCCATTTGGCTTTAATTACATTCAGTCACTTGCTGATTGTGGCTTCTGAGTGGTCTGGAAAACGTCTAGTTTTATGTTTGGGAGGAAACAGGATGGATACAAAGGGAAAAAATGCTGACTTAAATTTTCCCTATTGTTTTACTTTGCTTTTTAAAATATGCCTAAACTATCACTTTGAAAATACTAAAGACTGTTTTAGTAGGTACTTTCAGAATATCAAATTATTTTGGCTTTTTTTCTTTTTCCTCCTAATTCTAATTTAAAAGGCAATAATAATAGCACTAAAGTTAGTTAACATAACTTCTGCATCTTAACACAACTTTTTAATTTTTTTGTATTACCTTCAATATATGTATAGACATAGATATTTATATAGTATAATTTGTGTATTTTCTCAGTAGTATATGGTAAACATTTTTCATGTTTCTAATGACCCTCATGGCCATCATTTTAATAATTGCATTACAGTCTATCCTGTTGACATATCTAGTATGTTTTCCGTTTATCAAAATGCTGCTTAATTATTTCCTGAATGCCATGTATTGGAAGAAAAATGGATATAATTTTCAAACTGATTATGGGAGAAAGTAACCATAACTCAGTTATTTGCTCTAATCATAGATAAGTGTGAAAATCTTCAAAAGGCATGTAAAAATGATGTTTTAAAATGCACATTATGAATAACATCTTAAACTACTTTATCTGTTAATAAATACAGGTTGGGGAAAATGAGAAATAGCTATAAAAAAAAAAACTTGAAGGGCATGGATTATACCCCTGTTTTGAGAACAAGCCACAATGTGAACCACATTCATGGCATTCAGCTGGGGCCTTTGTGTGGCTGGTTCTGGTGTCAGTACTCTGAGGATACTCTCTGTGTTACACTAGCCACTCAGCTGATAACTATTAATATTTTTACATGATAGATCACCATTATTGAATTGATGTCTTCTCTTGGTTAAGCACCCTGGTAACTATTGGATTTTCTAGAATTCCTAATCCTATATCTATTGTTTGGAAAATCCCCTCTAACTACTGGGCTTCTCCTAGAGTTCCTGAGAATGCAATGGTGGTGGCTAGAATTTTTTTTTTTTTGAGACAGAGTCTCACTCTGTCGCCCTGGCTAGAGTGAGTGCCATGGCGTCAGCCTAGCTCA